TTGGGTGGTTGCTGTCGTAGTTCAGGACTTGCACAGTGTTGGTTGCTTTCCTGAACACTTTAGTTTTTAAGCCACCACCGTCTTTGCGGCAAACAAGGACATCCCTGGTTCTCGTCAGATACGACAGTCGAACTATAAAGTGACGACACCAAAGAGGTATTTGGTGCCTGCAGATGGAAGTCCCGCGTACCGCTGCACCACGGTTTTTTGTATCCTTCTGACAGCAAAAATGTTGGGTCGTGTTCGCACCAGACTGCCACACAAAAGACGTGCAAGATGTAACAGCTAGATACAACGAAGAGGGAGATATAAAAAACTCACTCGTAGGCTTCTTGAGCAATGGCGTACAATTGCGGATCAAAACTCTCGCAGCTGTTTGCCAGAACGCCGTCGAGAGCATCGTCAATACGCAGATGGGCAGCTCGCAGACGGTGTTGAAGGGAACTAAAAAGATGGACAGGGAAGATGCGTAAATTAGATTCAGGAGGGTATGGAGCGTTCGAAAAGGATTCCCGGTGAGAGGAGCGAAGGGGAAGCGTATAATGAAGAGATGAGATGAAGAAATGAGATAAATAATGGCAAAAAAACACAGAGGTAAAAAAGGAGGGAAAGGGAGGAGTGTGAGAGAGCAAGGACGATAATAAATCCCACCGAGGCCGCCTCCTAATAACTAAGTGTGCCTGGTAGTCATATGGTGGATTCATTGCTTAGGAAATCCCGCTTGGGAATCTGCTTACTGTATCAGAATTGGTAAATTCCAGATGTCGCATTAGCCTGGGCGGGTAAATTGACCCAAGTGTGATAATACAGACGGCTCTAGGTGGGACCTCTATAGCTCAGTTGGCTAGAGCGTTGACTGTACTCAAGCCTTCCCTTGCTGGCGTGGGTTCCAATCCCACCAAGGCCACCGAATTTTCACAATTTAGTCAAATGGAGCAGAAGAAAGACAGCGAAAAATACTAATTCAAGAGATGAACCAAAAAAGAGAGGAATGGATTAGAATGAAACGGGGAAAAGTGAGGAATGGAAAGACGAGTCTAGAAATAGGTACAAGACGAGGTTTTCTAAAGTAGCCAGAAGATGAGGGAAACAATAGAGCTAAGACAACAAGAACTTAAAGGAGCAATGACGCTAGGGTGTGAGTTTTGCATACATTCACAAGAGAGCAATAGTTATAATCATACAATTCTTGGCAGTTCGCCGATTGCAACTGCCAGGACGAGGAGCCCGTGGCTCAGTAGCTAGATCGTTGGACTAATAACCAAAAGAGGGCGAGTTTGAGCCTCAGCTGCCCTTAAATCGGGGGTTGGGTAAGGCTGACATATTAGCCGACGTCAGCCGCAAGACCTTAAGTTCGAATTCGCGTTCATTTTGGTTATAAGTCTAACTTTCTAACTATTGAAAGAGAGCGCGCATCCGGATGACTCGCCATAGCAGCTGCATTCATGGAACACATGTTAAACGCAGGGAACATTTTAAGAACCCTTAAAACGCAAGTCATGCTCCAATTAAGCCACTAACTTAGCTTACGTGCTGTTAAACGACGTTATTGTTTCTAATAACGCATTTTAATAAGATAAATCGTTCTACTTACTGGCTGTATGAGTCTAGCCTGGAAAAAATATAACCTATCACATATATGTATTGAAAATAAATGAGAAAATGCACATGAGATTTGTTTGCGAATGAAGATATTATAATTTAACAGTTCGCAAGCAAAGATATGCGAATACGTTTGACATTATGTTCCATGCTAATCAGTAATTCACAGGCACCTTCCATTTGTAAGAAATTTGGATTTTTTGTTGAACGTGACACGCGCATAGTGCGCAGACACTAAGGTTTAAGTCGCTTCCGCGCGTCGTAGTGGTTTTTTTAATTGAGGTTTAGGCGGCAAGCATGTCAGCAATCAACAAAATGCTGTGCGCAAGACAAAGAGGAATACACGTTTAGTCATACCAGATACATAGTAGATTTTCCATCTCCAAAATTTCAACCGAAATTCCGAAATGTGTTCTCGATTCGGGTAACAATTACTCAAGTAGGGTTGTACCACTGATTATCCTGTAACCTAATCCAAAGATATGTCAGTCACATCAGGATGGTGGATTTCGAACGAGCTTCTTTCCAACTGGCTGCAAAAGGCACATACCGTAAAACATGGTTACTGTGGTCTCATGCATTTTTCTCATTGGTTTGATGCCCTTATAAATGTAAATATATTTTATAGAAAACGTGCACCAAAATATTATTGCTTGCACTCATCTGATAGCCAATTACGTCTTCTTTAAAGTTGATATCTGACGAATGGGTATCTTCCGATTTTAAAAGAAAATTCTGATCATGAAATGTTTAGAGACCGTAAAATATCCATGCATAAAGCGTCGTATTTTTCCATTTATTAAGGCTCCCTAGTCTGTGAGCTCTTCCCCATAGTGTAGACGAATGTGTGGTTTCCCTTAGAATATATAGTTAATAAAGTTTCAAAACCCTAAATGCAAGTGGTACGGTCGCTATGGTTCAAAACTATTCGGTAATTTATGAAGTTTTTTAATCCAGAAAGACACCCTTTCTTCAGGTATAAAATTCTAAGAAGGAATAATGTGTTATGAAATAAAAGCAAGAAGTAACGTTTTCTATAAAATATATTTCACTTTATAAAGGCATCGAAAATCAAAGAGAAAAGTGCACACTACTCACGTAGTCGTTTTTTACAGAGTAAACTTTAAGCAGGCGGTCCGAACGAAGTTCGTTCAAAAGCCAGCATTCATGCATGATAATCATGATAACAAGCCTACTTGAGAAAAACACATTTCAGAATTTCGGTTGACATTACAAGACATTCAAACTCTACTGTATCTGCAGTACTGTGTTCACTTGCAGTTCAAATTAATTCTCGTGGTTAGAATGTTTGTGTCTCTTCGAAAATCTATGATGGAAAGAAAGGTGATGGGCAGTCAAGTCAAGTTTATTAAGGGAAATATAGGCAAACGGATGAGCCTATTTAAAGGATTTTCAAGGGTGCCAAAGTATCCGTGCGAGCACCTATTGGCTTGTTCAAGTAGGCTAAAATCCAATGTTACATCGTGCCAGAGATAATGTTATTCTTCATTTGTTGCACCCGAAATGGTTTTTTTGCCATTTAAATTGTAGGGCATGTAAAGTTGAGGTGTGCGCGGCGCTTCGCGCAGCGAACTAATATAAACTAACTCCAGCACGGTAAGTTGGACCTCGGTCAAGTTGAAGTAGACGACCTCCTAAACGCCATATTTTTACCGGATTTTTAAATTCTGTAATAAATAATTTATGAATAATCAAATTAAATACGAAAAAGTTACGTGGACAAGTCGCTAGTCAAAGTTACCGTCATGGTGCACGCTCATTGACTAGTCAAAATACCCTTGAAATCCTCCACATAGTTCAAGCCACAGGCAAACGCCTTTGAATTCCCTATTGGTAGCCAGTAGTTAAGAAATGCATCGGCACAGCCGAACCTTTCAAAGACGTCGTTTACATAATTGTAAGCCACTACTCGTTTGTTCCAAGTAATACGACCACATGTGGTGATGTCAGTTAACACGAGCCAGTAGATGTAACAGCATTAAAGGGGCAAATTAGAAGAAGTAGAGAGCGAAGCCTTTCAGAGACATGTTTGCAAGATGATTATGATTTGTTGACAATTATTTACATCAAAGATAGAAGGCAGACCTTCGAAAGTTAGAAACAAC